TATTTTTATTATCAGTTAAATTCTTTGGGAACGGTTGAGCTCTTCATTCGCCTTGTCTAATTATCGAGAAGGAAATTCCAAAATACAGTATGCTACGTTAAGATCCTTGTTATCACCATCCGATTTTCTGTGTCTTACAATTATATCCTAGATTTAATGGATAGGGTCCTCATTAATGTAAATGCGTCACCATGCCTGAATATTGTCATTTACACCGATAGAGAGAATGCTAGTGTCGTGATCCGCCGAATAATCGCAACGCCATAAAACGGGAACTCCTTCGGGCTGACAAACGTCCTGCAGCATCTATTAAAAGATTGACTGTCGTAGTAGACCCGTAATCCCGTCGTAAATCTACGTCTACGAAGTCAATCCACGTTTTACTCACAGAGAAAAGTTATTTTTGCCCGGCTTGTCCCTAAACGTCTTCCTTTATTTAATTCAGCTACCAAATATCAGTGATCAATTCTATTTAATAATCAATATCTCATATTTCGGAGTGTAGGCAAGTAGGCTCCATGGTGTAGCATGAAGGGTGCGATGGATAAATTGCCGTCTAAATTACGCAAAAATGTAAATAACACTGACATCTTTAAGAAATATATTTACCAAAATTGCACCAAAATATATTGAAATACTAAAGAGTAAATCTATTAATAAAATCTCTATTGGCATCAACCAAAGACTCCAGATGACTTCGGAATCTCCTGCAAATCTTCTGGACGACCTCTTAGTTTAAGTTAGCCATAATCCTTGCCTTTAGTTCATCTTTAGTGTTACAAGGAGTTTTGTCAGTTTCCATCTTAACTGCGCCCTGCACATAATAATAAAAGGGATTGCATTCTGAGGAGTTAGTTGGCCAGATGTTTAGAGGTGAGGCGGTTGCAGAAATTTTCTGACAGCCATGACTGGGTTTTCATGCTTGTGTGTCATGGTGCAGAGTCCTGTTGTCTCACATAGCTTCTTTCTGCAGCCACCGTCTTGACCTAGGGCAGCACTACCTCCTCGAGGCACTTGTTATAGGCCTTCGTGTTGAGTCTGCGGCCATGGGTGTGGAGATTAATGGCGGCATAACGTCCCCATCACTAGTATATATCATCCAACTCTTTCCACATCCTCACATCCTCTGCACTGTCCTCAGATTGACACGCAAAGATTCTTAAATGTTCGTATTGGAAGTTCTGGCGCCAATTTCAAGCAATACACCATGCTGTTTCCAAATTTCAGGCGGTGTAAATTCTATCATGTTTCTCTTTTTCTCACATACGATGCCTAACTTACCCTTTTATATTGTGCAGTCGACAAAATCAAAAACAAAGCGCATGCGCGGAATTAAAAATACAAAATGGCGACAATTTACCATCGCACTCTGTATTTCTTTCTATATTAGACTTTCTATCGTAACACTATAGAAGAATAAACAAACACCAGATTTGAATGTCCCAAATAACTTTAAATAAGAGAGGTTTGTTTATTTTCAGAACAATTTAATAAAGCAAAAGTGATACATTTAAAATTTTAATATCTTTGTAATCATTTTCTGATATTCTTTAACCCAATCTTTAAAGATTAAAATCCCTCTACTCGGAATTTTTCATCCTTCGTTTTGTCAAACTGTCATAATCCATATTTGTTTTATTTGATTACCCGTTTTCATATTACACTTTGCATCCAAGTGCAGAGAATTATGAAACAGGCAGAAAATGGCAGAAAAATAGTTGCAAATGATATGAAGCAATAATATATCAGGATTTCTTATTTTAACATAAAATGGAATACATAAAGGGATATATGTCGCCAAAAAGACGCAATGAATATTTAAAGAATTCGGAGAAACTGCATATTAAGTGAACAGCAACTTTATGCTTACATCATTTTTCACCCAAAAATGTACATATTAAATATGAACAAATATTACAATCTGTTTGCAAAATTAGACTGACGGATCGTAGAGCCGAGTTTTCAATTCCAGCTGGTTTTGTTGTATTTACTTACGCGCAGATATCCCTGGGAAAGGTATAAAAAACACCTTTTCTCTTCCAGTTATGGGTTAATTAGTAACTCATTACTACCCTCTCATCCATTCTTAAAAACTAAAAAAATATTTCCTGGCTTTAAATAACATGAAAAGGGTTGATAAGCCGTAAAAGACAAATCAATCAAATGAAGTGTCGATCAATTATGACTAAATAGTGAGAGTGACTGTCACTAGTTGCCCATGCTTGCAGCCTTGTGCGATATCTAAGTTACAGTTTGTAAATTATGAAAATTATACTGAATATACAGTAGGAAACAGATAATATCTGTAAATAAAGGCGACAAATTTCAAGTGTAACTTATGCCTCGCTGTTGTAGAGTAGTTTTCACAGTGGAGGTTTGTATTTCACTAAGTCGGTCCTTAAAAGGTTCGACGTACAAAACGTTAGGAACTTGTTATAATAGTTAATGACGCAGCAATCTAGTTGTGGTGGTTGATACTTTAATGTCCGACATCGACTGACACAGCAACTCCACTGAGCCCTCTGGCGACTGCTACTACTACTACTTATTATCTGTGGGAAAGTCTATTAATAATAGAATAGGTATGTTCTAGTATAACACTCGCTTCAGAAGAGTGAGTCAAAAAAATTGAAAACTACTTGAGTCGACTTACCTATCAAAAGCTGGCAAAACAGCTGCTTATAAAAGCTTCAGTTTGAAGGACTTCTCGGTCGGACCTTTATCATCACAACCAAACTCTCATACAAACACAGATCAATTAGTTTATCTATAGCGTACTATTCACAGTAGGGAGTAATAATGGATAGCGACAGGGACTGAGGAATTGCATAGGCGTGTTCGAATTCCAGTCAAGATCGCTACATTAACTTGGTAACGTAGGAACCTCATCGTTGGTTTAAATAGTAAGACACACTGGGTTCTATTTGGGCGGAACGGGCAACTATGTATTCAAAAGCCCTAATTATAGGGTAAATAGACTAACCTTCAATTATCCAAGATTAGTAAATACGGTTAGCCACCCTCACCAAGGCACTGTGAAAAAAAGAAGGGAGTTATCCACCAACAGAAGCAAAAAAGCCCTAGACCTGGATTTGGATTTGTAAGTGACTGACGCCAGGAAATAACAGATGAGCCTAATGAAATTCACTGTCAATAAAAAAAAAAGTCTTTGTTCTAAGAGTATTTGATTTGAGACGTTAGCAATATGTACGGAGTTTTCAGTACAGACGATACTAGAAAAAAAAGGATTTTGTAATCAGTGTAGAGTATCTTTTACCAGATTAACCGGAGTGGTAACCTCATAGCCAACAGGGGCAGATTCGCGCGTCGCTGTCCGCATCAGTGCTGCGCAGCCTTCGACATCTAAACAGCTGGCCGACACAGATGCGGTGAAGACGTTTTGACGTAAAAAGGCTTTCGTTGGCCACATGCATTTATCTTTGAATAGAGAATGATTTCTTCATGATTTTCCTCTTCATTTGCAGCGATCGCAAAAGGTAAACCTCAGTTAGTGCATGGTCAGGTGAATATGGTATGTAGAGTAAAACAGACCAACTGAGTTCCAGATGTTTTCCTGTGTTATACTTGGGATAAAAAAAAATGATGAACAAATATTAAATATAAAGAAATATTACAATCTCGCCCTGTTTGGAAAATCAGACTGACGGATTTCAGCATACTAGCATACAAACTAAAGCCATTAGTATTATCTGTTATGCCATAATACCTATTCTATTGTAATGGACTCTCCCACAGATGATAAGTAGTAGTAGCAGTCGCCAGTTCGGCTCAGTAGTTTTGAGCGAGTCAGTTGATATCGGGCATTGAAGTACCAACCATCACAACTAGATTTGTTGCGTCATTAACTCTTATTTTCAAGTTCCTAACGTTTTGTACGTCGAACCTAATTTAGGACGACTTATTGAAATACAAGCCTCCACTGTGAAAACTACTCCACAACATTATCAGATATTGATAACAAGGTCCTTAATTATAGTAAGCTTTATGTTGGACTTCTCTTTTCAATAAGTAGACAAGGGTGTGATGCCTCGTAAGATTTTCACGCTAGATCAATTATGTTTACGGCCATATCACGTTGAAATATCGGTTTCCGTACGATTAACGAAGTTAACAAACGTCGAGCCTTTTCAGTATCTAGACGGGTGACAGAATACGAATACTCGAGGCAGTAGGCTTGGATGTGCAGGTGGTGTTTTGGACAGTGGTCTAAAATTGTTGATCGGAGAGCCGAGTTTTCAATTCTAGCTGGTCCCCTTGTATTCACTTACGCGAAGATATCCTTGGGAAAAAAAAAAAAACTTATGAACGTGTAAATGTGCATTTAGATATTAATTGTGTTTTAAGAAATTTAATTGAATAAAACTTAAATTAAATAATGTCATTATTTACCAACCCAGTTTCTACGCTGACGACTCAAATTAAGTGTAAGCCTGGTCGGTGTGATAAGGTTAAATTAGCAGTTGACCTCAAAAATGACCTATGATCTGTGTGTTAAATGGAGCAAGCAGTAACTTGTTAACTTTAACACTTCAAAAACGAAACTGCTCTATTTAATCATGTGAAAGAACTCTTTTTTCCCTTCCATCATTCCATCAAATATATTTTAATGTTTCTCTCACTCAGCATTTGTCTTACACTTTTTATTAGAATTACATTGTTTTATGGAAATATTTAATGAACTCTTATTTCCATTGCAATAAATGAATTTGTTTCGATGAGGCATCCATTCCTAGAGTGAAGCCTTCCATTCCTGGTGATAGATAGATAAATAGATAGATAGGGATATACATTTGACAAACTAGATAGATAGATAGAAAGGAAAAGGATATATATATATATATATATATATATATATATATATATATATATATATATATATATATATATATATATATATATAAAAATACTGTTTCATACAAACATATTGATCGACTCAGAGATATGATCAGATAGGTACATATTTAGCCAAGCAGAGAATATTAGATGCGAGTTAATATCCGTACGAACAGCCTAAGGTAGAAAGAACAAAAGGTATCACATAGATATTGAACGTAGATAGATAGATAGATAGATAGATATATCCAACGCTTACGTACCGTGATAAAGAGAAAGGCTAAAAGAAAAAGTGAAAAAAAGTTTTAAAAAATTGATTATACCTGAGTTCGAAATCGAATCGATAGAGTTAGAACAGGTGCCGCCATCGGAAAATTAAGCTGAGGCTGCTTCTGTGTGTCGCATAAAAACATACTGTGTTTTGTTTAATATTTTGTTTTGCTTTTTTATTCGCCTTCGTTTATTATTATTATTATTATTATTATTATTATTATTATTATTATTATTCGTAATGCCTCGGTGTTTAAATCCAATTCAAATACCTGTTAATCGGATTATAATCGAACGTTATCGATTTTTCTGCTCGCAGTTGATGATGCAATATTTGACTTTCACAAGATTAGGAAAATAATTAGATGAGAAAAAGAGAAAAGGGATAAAAAAATATCTCCCTCGTCGCATAAATCACCTGCGCATGCGCGTAAACACATGCGTCAAACGCGCATATTCAACAGCCACCTGCGTATGTAGAAAAGCTTTCGTGTGTTCATAGAAACAAAAATATACATGCCTATATATATATATGAATGAATATATTTTCAAAGTGTGCTATATTTATATATATGAACCGATACACTATATATATATATATATATATATATATATATATATGAACAAATATACTATATATGAACAAATACACTTTTAAGGTGTGCTATATTTATAGAATAAAGTGCTCAATATCATTGATAGAGCGTATATAAATATAAAATTGAACATTGAAGTCAACACTCAGAGGCGACAGGCTGCTTCATGCTGGACACAATCGACGCATTGATTATAAATATAAACGTTTTTTGTTTTGCTTTTTTTATTAAACACCAAGCAAATTTGAAGATTTATACATTTATACTAGATTTAAAAAAAAATTAACTTCACGAAGACAGACATACTGTCGAAATATTGTTAAACATTGTTAAAACCATGTTTTTTTTCTTTTCTTTTCCTTTAAATCGCGCTCTTATCTTCAGCGATGAAAAATATTGGAAGATTTACGTCAGTCACTTTGTTTATTATTTGTAATAGCAATAGTTGTATGAATAATCAAGATTGGTCTCCTCTTGTTTTGTTACTCTCTACTTCTGTTTACTGGGACTATAAAAGGACACTATACGCGAACCTTGTTTTATCAGTTGAAGAAATCTTTCTTAAATCCTACACCGGCGTACTTTTGTTATTACAATAGTATTGGTATGTTCTTTTGTTTAATATCCAGTACCATCTCTTACCATTATTAGTCGAAATATTTGTAAGACAAGTTAAAAAATATATAAAATGATGTCACGTGATACTTGACCGGTACATTGTATATATTTATTTTACTTTGATAATACACTCCTGGGAAAATGTACAGTTCGACACTACATTTTTTATAAACAGGGGCTGCCAATAAAAATTCAATAAAAAGCAATAACAATATTTACTCACCTTCGTCTAACCTCCATTAGATTGCATCACATAGCTAAAAGAAAAAAAAAACAACAAAACAACGAACCAAAAGTTGGAGGAGGAATTCTGTCAGAATGAAAACATTGGCGAAAACCCTTAAACAAGGGTCTACAAGAGCACAAAAGGGACATTTTAAATAGCAACATTCAAAATACATTGGTCGTTCACTTAAACAAAACGGGCCCCATTTTTTTTTTATGTATCTATATTCACAAATAATGTGTGTTTCATGAAGACAGATTATATATAAGTGTGTTTCATTAAGACGGATCAAAGTCAACAGTAAATAAATTAGTGTTATTGGTGAAAATTTATTTATTTCCCTATTGGATCATGTTGTCTAAGTCATAGCAATTATGTCTGAAAAATTATATCGCCCAAATATCGGCCAAATATGAAAGGAAAAGAAAAAAAGTAAATGAGACACTTAAACTTAATTCACATTTAAAATCAGTGCAAGTTACTAGAACAAACTTTACAAAGAATAAACACTAAACCTTAAAATAAGCTTAAAATATAAAATAAACTGAGGGCTTAATGCTAAACTCGACAGAGATTAAATATTATTATGATATTATATGTGAATGAGAGAGAGAGAGAGTGAGAGAGAGAGAGAGAGATAATGAGAAAAAGATAGTGTGTGTGTCTGTGTGAATGAATTTTATATGTTGCTATTTATTTTTAAACCAAATAATTAGTTACTATGAAACCTATTTTTCCGTCGATTTTCTGTTTGTGCAGAATCGATGGAACGATCCTGTATGCGTTTGGACGTTTTTCCATATTAAGCTTCAATATCATGCAAGATAAACTTAGGTGGCAATTCGCCCCTGACGATGATCCTGCATAAGACTGAAAGTACTTGGGATAATAAAAGAAATAACCAAAACTATGGCAACTTTTTTAATCAGTTTGGTAACAACACTAGGAAAATTAACCGCGAATTTGATTAAATATTAAAATACAAATAAAAAGACATAATATAATACAATATAAAGAAAGACAAATGGATAATTATTTTTAACAAAGCTTTTCGCCCCCGTAGGGACTTTATCACGGTAAATGTTGTTATGTTTTCGAATTTTGAAAATTTAAGAAATTACTAATATCTTCCCAGAGCCAAATGAGTGAAGATGAATTAACTCGGAAGAAGGATAACTGATGAAACTTATTACATAATCCACGAAAATGTGTAAATTTTGCTGCCGTTTATATATATATATATGTGTGTGTGTGTGTGTGTGTGTGTGTGTGTGTTTGCGTGTGCGTGTGTGTGTTTGGGATTAGATAATTTAGACATACACTGTCTGTTTATCTTTGTTTTAATCTTTTCGATTCCACGAATCAATTTCTTCGTCACCGTAGAAAATTGATTAAGAAAAATGGCAACATTTTCTTTCAAATAATTTTTATTTTCCCAAGGACTTTCAGTCACATCTGACAGCATCTTCAGGGGGTAAATTGTCTGTGTATATCTATACGTATTCCTGTAAATTTAAAACATTTTACTGTTAATTTTATTGCATTTGTATAGTTCTATATCTGTTTTAAATTCATAAGGTTATGTTTATCATGAAAGGGAGGCAAATTTTGTATTTCCTAATATATATATATATATATATATATATATATATATCGTGAGACAAACTGATTAATTTTTTAAAATTTGGGGTTTATGTAGATTGCGTGTATTCGTGTTATTGTGGAAGTGGTGGGGGAAACTTCGTCGCTTATGTCATCGTACTAACGCAAACATCGATGTATGCAGACACATATAAATACTTGGTCGTCCGTCGGGACTCATACATATATAAACATATGTGGGCAGTTTCGGATTTGACATATGCATGTATATGGGTGGTGTTGTGTCTATACATACGCATTTGTATGTTGAAATTCAAAGATTGGGAGTGTAGCGAAAATTTCTCGTTAATGTCTCGTGACTGTATACATGTCATATTTTTATTTTCCAGTGAATAAATTTCCTCGCACGTATGTATATACGTGTGGTGGGGTTTGTGTAAAATTATGATAGGTAAAAATTATTATTATTTATATTTATTTTTAAATTTTTTTAAAAAAAGGGGGTTTATTTGTTATATTTAAAGCTGGTTATTTGTTTGTTTTTTCATGACTGTGTATATGTAACAGGTAGAAATTTGTAATCCTTATTGGTTATTTTATATGGTGATGCTTAATATTTAATATGCTGGGTGAGAGGGTAGTTTATGTTAATAATTATAGCGGGTCTATATGATATGATGTGATAGTAATGTTGCAAGGGAGTGGAGACAATGATAATATAATTAGCTAATAGTTATTGTAAATTGGTAGAAATGATTAGTAACGGTGGTAGGAGAATGATAAAACCATAAATGTAGTTATAGTGGTGTTAGCTTAAACTAAAATGTGGTTGTTGGTGTTTTATTTTATTTTGTTATATGTATTAATTTATTTTGGTACAAATCCTGATAATAGGTGTTCTGTGTAAAATTATGATAGTTGAAGATTGCTATAATTTTTAATTTTTAGTTTAAAAAAACATTATTGTTATTATATTAAAGCTGGTTATTTCCTTGTTTTTGTGGGTTTTTTTTTTTTTTTTTTGATGACTGTGTATCTGTGACTGGTAGAAATTTTAGTTTGTAATTCTTATTGGTTATTTTTATGGTAGTATTAAATATGCTGGGAGAAGGGGTAGTTGACGTTAATAATTATGGCAGGATTATATGGTAATGGTAGATGTGGTGTGATAGTAATGTGTAAGGGGGTTGGTGGCAATAATAATATAAGTGGTTAATATTTATTGTAAATTGTTAGTAGTGATTAGTAATGTTGGTGGGAGAATAATAAAAACCTATAAATGTAAATATTGTGGTGCTAGCTTGAACTAAAGAGTCGTTGTTGGTGTTTTATTTTATTTTATTTTCTATATTTATTTGTTTATTTTTATTTATTATGAATCCTGGTAATAGGTGTTTATTCTCATGGTTACATATGGAAATTATATCTGATCTTATTGTTTTAAGGTATTAAATATGCTGGGGGAGTAATATGCGTTAAAGATTGTAGTGGATTTATATGTTAATAGTAGGTGTGATGTGTGAGTGATGGTGCTGGGTGTTGGTGGTAATGATAATATTATTAGTTAATAGTTATTGTAAAGTGGTAGAAGTGATTAATAATGGTGGTGCAATGATAATAACGATAGATGCAATTATGGTGATGGTATCTTGAAATTAAATTGTGATTGCTGGTGGTTTGTCTTTTTTATACGTTTGGTATGAATTCGGATAATAGGTACTTGTTCTCATGCCTACATTTGGAGATTATCTCTGATTTTTTGTTTAGTAAATTCTTTTGCGGTTTGTGTGATATTATTGCTACTTTTTCGTGTAGGCAAAATAGGCATTTTTTGTAATGTTGCAGTAGGCAGGGGCTTTTTTCAATATTTCCCAACTTATTGTTGGTGTGATATTTTTGTCTTTTTGTTGCCATATGTATGTAGAAAGTGTAGTGCTGTTCGAATATTTCCTGTTGGTGAATGAAAGGTTCTGATTGTTATTCCTCATCTTGAATGGAGCTTCGGTGGCACCGATGTAGTGCATTATGTTGTTGTTTGCACTTACCTTGGCCTTGTATATTGTGTTCGTAAGTTGGCAATTTCCCTGGAGTGGACATGTTGTTCTGTTTCTGCAGTTGCATATTGGATCCTTGCTTTCATTTTTGTAGGTTGTCATTTTTTTGTTGTGGCTTTTGATTATTTCTGTTATGTTTTAACTGATCTTTACGTAATTTTTGTTAAATATTTTTGATAATTTGTTTGCTTCAGTGAAGTGTTTTTCTATTAAGTTTAGGTTTTTTGTTTTTTTTTTCTTTCTTTTTTATTCTTAACATATTGCCTATGTTCGTTTTAACGCTTTTATTATGTGGTAGATTAAACTAGATAATGTTTCTATGAAAAAGTAGCAATAATATCGGAGTCTTGTTCGGGGAGGTAAACCGGCCCTGAAACCGTTTATGCGGGTTCAATGGGCATATTTTTGGGACGAGCCCAAGGGTTCGGAGAACCCACAATGAATAACCGATCTTGTGTCACATGATGCCCCAGTGGGGTGGGGACTGAATATCGAGTCAGTCAGTCGATGTCGGTCGACCGGCTGATCAGTTGACCTCTCTGCCTTCGGACAGGGAGGAACCTGAACGAGGCTACGCCGAGGGTCGGAGTCTCGTTCGGGGAAGTAAACCGGCCCTGAGCCCGTTTATACGGGTTCAATGGGCATATTTTTGGGCCGATCCCACGGACTCTGAGATCCCACATTATATAACCGGCCTTGTGCCACATGATGCCCCAATAGGGTGGGGGTGACTGAATATAGTCAGTCGTTCACCAGGTGAACGACTGTTCGGTTGAACTCTCTGCCTTCGGGCGGAGAGGAACCCGAACCAAGCTACGCCGAAGGGTGGAGTCCCTTTCGGGCAGGTAAACCGGCCCTGAACCCGTTTATACTGGTTCAATGGGCATATGTTAGGGCTGAGCCCACGGACTCAGAGATCCCACATTAAATAACGGCCTTGTGCCACATGATAGCCCAGTGGGGGGGGGTGAATGAATATAGTCAGTCGTTCAAGTCTTGACTGGTTGTTCGGTTGAACTTTCTGCCTTCGAGCGGGGAGGAACTCGAACGAGGTTACGCCAAAGGGCGGAGTCTCTTTCGGGGAAGTAAAACGACCCTGAACCCGTTTATACAGATTCAATGGGCATATTTTTGGCCGAGCCCACGGTCTCGGAGATCCCACGGGCTCGGAGATCCCACGTAAAAACCGGTCTTGGGCCACATGATGCCCACGTGCGTGGGGGTGACTAAATATAGTCAGTAGTTCAAGTCGAATCAAGAGTCGAGTCAGATGCAGTCCGAAACAGAGTCGCGTTCAGACAATTACTGCAAGACATTGGAATAGTGATACTGGTCGAGACTACATTGTTCTCTCTACTGAACCTAATTGTTCATACTAACATTTCTACTTCTCTGTATATATTCCTGTTTGTAATATATCTGTGTTATTCCATACCTGTGTTCGAGTTCTTCATTATTGGTTCTACCTTAGACTATCACCGTGGTACAAGGAACCGGACACTAACAATATAGTCTTTTGATAAATTATTTATGTATTTATCTATTTTAAATATTTTTGACATCTTCAGTTAAGCGCTTAATTTTAATTTTTAAAAGAGAAAGCAGATATTTCAAAAAACACAGGACATAAATATTAACTTAAGTCTTGAACTTAGGCTATAAGGGGATAACTTTTTTAATAATAATCTACAATTTGATTTCTTAGACATAGATTTCCTGGAAGAGAATAACAGAAATATCGTCAACTCAACTTGTTCCTAACACAAAAGAATTTTTCTAAATTCTTTAATCTAAATTCTTTAGATCTAGAAAAGAAAATGTTTTATATATGATCGTACATCTCGTTTCTAACAATACACATACACACGCACACACACACTCATATATAAATACATACACACACACACACACAGACATATATATATATATATATATATATATATATATATATATATATATATTTTTCATTAAAGACGAGAGGCATGTTACTGCGTTTAAGCCTTTTATTTTATTTTATTTTTGTATGTTTCTTTTAAATAAAAAACTTAATCGCTGTACCTTGTGTGTCATCTTTAATGAAACATGTATAAATGAAGGACTCTTTTCTAAATATATATATATATATATATATATATATATATATATATATATATATATATATATATATATGACAAAGTGTGTCTGATGCGTTTAGTCCTTTACGACTTCGGACGAAACGACTAAACGACTTCATTTGATGCGACTACACATGCGCATGGACCAACGATGTTGGAAAAAAACCATGTTTGAATTGAAATCCCCCCTTTTCACTTTCCTGTGAATGTATAGTCGCATCGACGTACACATCAACTTAGTCAGATGAAGTTCTAAAAACGAAATGCTTCACACGATAACATTTTACACATTGTTATACATCTTTCTCTAAAATTTGTTATTAATATATGACAATTTGCATATCATTAACCCATACATATCGTGAGTCGTGGCTCATTCTTTAGCTGCCATGTTCACCTTTTCCAGTTTCGATTTTTTTATTATTGTTCCAACGAATCTTTCTGAAAGATGTTGAACAGAGATCTCCTCCTTCAATTTTTAAACCATATACAAATTTTGTGGTATAAGAAATAAATATATATATATATATATATATATATATATATATGTGTGTGTGTGTATATATATATATATATATATATATATATATTCTTAAGTTTATGTATTAAATTAATCGTAAAATTTTTTAGCCGTTTTCCAGCCGAATCTACGAGGATTTTGCCCGCATATTTCCAGTCTAATTAAATCAAGTTTTTGCCAACGAATGGTCCTTGAGGAAGCGTTGGCCGAAAGGCAGCGTATGTCCTAATCAAAACGTTGTTATATATATATATATATATATATATATATATATAATAAAATATATTAAAAAATGAAAATTTACAGACATACTGATATGTACGTAATTAGTTTCCTAGGCTAGTTTCTGCCCGTAAAGCCATCACCAGGAGAAAAAAAAAAACCTGCTTATTAGCAGCAGGGAACTACAGGAGTGAATGAGTGTCTGTGAAGAAAGTGAACTTTATCCCTAGTTTTCATTTGTTTTTTATCGTTAATTTTGGTCAGTCCTTGCATTGATTAAACGGCCGCTTCCAAGTTGCTTTTTTTTAAGATAGAGATTGGGAGTCTCGTGACTTTCAGAATTCTTTCTTTGATCCTTTTGGCAGTCCTATCTGTTGATGTATATATATATATATATATATATATATATATATATATATATATGGATTTGAACAAACACAATTTCATGCTCATTTTTTGGGGGGACCTTGGGTGCCTTTCGGCCTACCCTTTCTCAGGGACCGATTGTTGGCAAAATTTGATTTGATTAGACTGCAAATATTCCGGAAAATCTTCGTAGATAAGGCTGGAACACGTCTAACAAGATTACGATTAATGTAAATCCGTAAACTTAAGAAAGTAAATAAATGGTACATTTACTACTAGTGTGTTCCGTAGGATGACTTTTACAGGTTTTTACACCAGTTGGAAATCTATTGTCTCTCGTACCAGAAAAATTATATCTGGTCAAAACTTTAATCCATCGGATCTTCATTATTTTTTCCTCCTTTACATTTCGTTCTATTCTTATCAATAATGTTTCTGCGGATAATATTGTTGATCGTACAGTAGAACATATGATATATAACTTTTATATGTCCTAAAAATGTGGCCCTCGTCCGTATTCTACACATCTTGGCTTAGCAAAAAGTGTAAAATGACAGAGTTTCGACTATTGGCTCTGCCATTTTCTTTTCAGCCAAGGTACGTGTTGTTTTCGGTACCCGTCCAGTTTTTTCTTCATGCACTAATCACCGTATGCCCTATCCTAATACGAGTTTACTTATTTATAAGTTTAAATGTCAGTGTGAAGCTGAGTATATAGGGCGGACGAATCTTAGATTGGAAACAAGAATAGGCCAACACGACCCTCAACCATCTTTCCTTGCATAGAATATTGCTCTCATATACAGTCCGGTGCTCCCGCTCTACGTTTCGATAAAATCCAAGGACGAATATGCAAGATGATAGGTCCTGCTCATCTAGTCTACAATCGCTATCCTACATACTTGGCGTGGCCTCCTTGTGTCTCTTCTGCTGATCCGACGAGCTGCTTCCCGTACTGCATGAATTTAAGCAAGCTATCAGGCTGGCAACAGGCTCCCACCCTTGCCCTGTCAAAACAGTTCAATGTAACCGCCTCTTCTACTCAAACATCATCTCCCGCACTTCCCATCTATGGAACTCCCTTCCCCTTACTTGCTTCCCCGATGACTATAATCTTGAAATATTCAAGTGTAATGTCAATCTGACACCCTGAGCTTGTTCACCGTCCTTTCCCTATGTGACATCCCCCGGTGTCGCTGCGCCAAATGTGACGTCTGCCTGGGCGCGTCCGTTGTGCTGCCCTAGTCGCGGCGCCAATTGTGACGTCACCCCGCCTGTCTCCGCGCCGTCGCAGTCATATCCTGTCTTGTGACGACCAATGTGACTTGGTATTGTCGCGGCACCAAATGTGACGTTCTAACCTTTTGCTGATTCGGATAGGAATCTGGCTAGATTCGGTATCAGCCTTGTCGTTTCCAGCTCGCCTCCAACGTCTGGTTACCGAAGTAACTGTTTTGATTTCTAGTCTAACCTACCCACGTTGTGAATTGATCTAAGGTAGACGAAATCAATCAGTCGCCAGGCCGTAATGCAAGTCGAGTCCGAACAAGGGTGATATCGCACAAGTATATGTAAAAGAAAATAGAATAATAACTCGAAAAGTTCAAATGTGTTAAAAAAGGATAACAATATTTTATATCTGGTTGCCGAATACAGGACTGATTCTTCTTCCCAACCCGCTATATGGATCGTGACACTTTGTGTTTGTTAGGCGAGTTTTAACATCTTAAGTTGTTTGTTCTTTAAGAAACTGGTTTTGGTGTATCTTCAGGCGGTATTCGTAAAACTTGTTTTGGTGGTGTGAGTCTGTCGTTCTTCAAAAATAAATTGTTTTTGGTTAGACGTTGAGTTCGGAATTGCGTGGGATCTTTCAGTAAGTTTCCTGCGAGGCGGGCCCAACTCAATTCAACTCAGCTGCGAACTTCGAACTTAACTCAACTTCACTTAACTTAACTGCTTTTCACTCGCTGCAACTCTGCTTATATGGACGCCGACTAAAACCGGGGTGGGCTTGTCGGGGTTTGAGGTTCCTTGATAATTCTAAATCCACAATCCACTTCTTTGTTTTCGGTCAGGAAAATTTATTATTTTCCATTTTTGGAAGTCTTTCGTCCTCCCACCTTCTTCTGTTCTCATATTGGTATCTCACCATGCCCTCAGAGGGTGTCAACGGGTTTCCCCTCTCTCTCACAGTGGCATCTCATACCGATCCCCTCAGGGGGTGTCAACAGGCCTCCCCTCCTACTTCACATGATTACCTTCGCCTATCGCTCACGCCGGCATTCAGCCAATGGGCGGCCAGCAGTGTGTGTGTGGCTAGACTAGCCTCGGTTTAAAAAAATCTTGCTCAAAGAAAAAAAATTATCTTCCTTTTTTTTTCTTTTTCTTTTTCTTTTCTTTCTCTTTCTTCTTCTCGACAACAAGTCCTTAGACTCGTAGCGTGGTTTCTTAATCTCAATTTTATCTGAATGTCACCTGGAATTCGTCACTCGGGACCTTCGCCAAACAAGTGGGTGGCCATCCGGCGAGATCCACATTCTGGCGTTAATTATTCATTCGGATAAAATAATTTTCCTATCGTGGCCAGCTTCGACATAAAACAGATGTCTTTTCCAAACGACATCTTCGTAGATAACTAATGGTCAATCTTTTGTTTTTGTAATTCTGCGGTTGA